TTTCATAGGGAAGACAGGTAGAGTATATGGTTTATAGCGTTTTTTTTCCTTTAAATTCAAGATACTTCATATGTATTATCTCATTTAATCCTTGGGGCAGATTTGAAGTAGATTTGATTGTGTTTTTTAATAGATGGGGATGTAATGTAACAAAGAAGCAAAGTAACCTGCCCAAGGTTATAGAATTATTAAATTGCAGAGCTTAGACTTAAAGACTTATATTACTCCAGAAAGCCCATCCCCCTCCCTACTCCTTCGTTATTACACCTTATTATTGAAGTCTTTTTGTTATATTAGGCTTTCAACCTATAAATCTAAACCTCTCTTTTCAACTAGTTTCTGATTGTAAAGGTTATATGTATGTACTCCTCTAGTCCACTAGAGGTCAGTATTGGGTTGAGAAAGACTAGAGACTGGCTTTTGATTTCATTATTTTAACTCTCTGAATTTTATTTATAGGTACTCCTTGAATTTGTATTTCACAGTAAACCTTTATTTAATGGCATGTATAGGATATCTCATAGAACTACTTTGACACTTGTAAAAGTGTTAATAGTGACTTTTTAAGGTTAATAGTGCAGATTAGGTAATGCTTATGGGTTCTTCCCTCCCTGATAATAGGTAGGAGAGCACCCATGTCATATCTTTTGCAGATGTCCCTTTATTTTATTGTGCCACATCTTATTCTCATATGGATTCCTTTTGTTATCTATTGCCTTTGTACAGTAAACATATATCCAAATTTACTATGTGTACATCACTATGTCTGGACTTGGAGCATTCTAAGAATGGTAAAGGGTTTCTTATCTTGAGAGAGAGAAGAGTTGTGTACCGAAGGGTTTTATTGTCATTTTCACCTGGATATATTAATACAACCAGTTTACTGAACTCATCCTCATCATCCTGTGCTTAACTTACTATTTTTATGGTTCCTATTGCTTGGAATGGCCCTACCATCTAGTAGTCATCAAGGCCAGAATACTTGGAATTATTCTTATTTCCTTCTTCTCTTCCCATGTATTACATTTAAATCAGTAAATTGTGTTACTTCTGCTTCTTATATGTCTGCTGCTACCTTTGTTCAAATTCTTATTTGGACTGATTACTGATATATATCGATTTTCCTGCTTTTAGTCTTTACCTTCTCCCAGTTGACTACTTCTCTGTTCCTAGAGTATTTGTCTAATTCTAAAGCTAATCCTGTTATTACCCTGCTTACGTTCTTTCATCATTTCTCCTATTTCCTACTAGCTAACATTGCAACTACTTAATGTGGCATCTTTATCTCTTATTAATCCTTCAGAACCTATGCTCTAATTATATAAAATTACGTATTATTCCCTGGGTGGATAATGTTTTTTCACCCATGGTCCTTTCTCCTGCTATTTGCTTATTGTGCAATGGTTAACCTTTTTCATCTATCTCTGTTTGGAAAAATCATATTTATCTTTCAAGGGCACCTTTAGTGCCTGTTCCTCTGTGAAGCCTTCCTTGAAACTTTTCCAAGCAGATCTGATTACTTTCTCCTTTGTCCAATTATTGTCCTCTGTATTTGTTTCTATCATTATATTTGTTGCACTGAATTCCAGCTATTTACTTGCCTATGTGCTTCCCATAATGGTGTGATGTGAGATTCATAAGTTAGGGACTCTATCTTATTTCTTTGTATAACCAGTGTGCAGCACAATGTCTGGTACCAAGTATACATTCAACATGTGTTTGAAAGTAGGAATACAGAGAGAAAGCTCCATAAGTTAGAGCAGTGAGAGAAGGCTTTCTAAAGGAAGAAGAATTTTAATTGGGTTTCATAGGAAAGATTGGATTTGGGCAGGAAGAGGTTAAAGGGAGAGAAATGGCCTAAATAAGGATACAGAAGTGGAAATTTACTTAGTGTATTATGAAGTAGAGTCTCATCCAAGTGGAAGAGTCATGTTGGAGAGTACTGGATAAGTACATTGGAAAATTAGATTCAACTTCCATTATGGTGGGATCTATGTGATGGATTATGAAGTTTGGACTTGCACTTGTTTAAATTTTTTCCCCAATTTCCCTCATGTCTAATTGGCATGATAAACAATGTGGCTTCAGAAGAGCCTGGCTACAGTAGGTACAGGGATTGTAATGGGAAGGTGATGAGTTCCGTTTTAGGTATGCTGGAAATGAGGTGATGGTAGAACACACAGTAGCAATAGGAAAACGGAGATGTGCTGTGCATTTCAGGAGGGTGGTAAGAGTGGTAAGAGAGAAAAGGCGTTGAGGGCTAAACTTTGCTCAATTTCTATATAATAGGAAATTGGAGGAGAATATATTATATGTGAGTGAATCTTGAGGAAGGGGTGGTTAAGTGTACAAAAATTATTCATAAAGAGAATGAACAACTAAGAAAATGAAAACACCTAAATGCTTTCTAAGGTCTAGCTACTACGTGTATGCTTTGTGCCCCTCTCCGCCTGCTCCGACCTGGTCAGGAGAGATCAGAGAGTTGCTTCTTTATAAGGATTGTCTTTGAATGGATAGAATAAATGATCCTGATTTTTTAAAAAAGCTTAGCATGTTAGAAAAGAACACTGAAGGGCTTTTGCTAGACTTTTATTTTTTGTGGACTTTAGTGTCACATTTTCATTTTAATATATATTATATGTATTTATATATTTATATCTATATTTAGTCTTTACTACTTCCTGCCAATCTCATAACATACATTGTGAATAGATGGTAATTTTCATTTGCATCCATAATGGTAATATCTGAATATTTATTTCGTTGCTTTGTTTGAAATTTGATGTTTCCAACTTGGCCAGTTCCTGCTTGGCAGGTCTGCCTTGATTGCTCCTTTTTACAGACTGGAGAAGCTTTAATAATTCTGACAGAGAATGCAGGTTCTGACAGAGCTTTAGAATACAACTTGAAGCACTTTGATTTCCAGCATAGTGTTTGCTATCTCAATTTGCTGGTTTGGTCCAAACGATTTTGCACTCCTCCAAATTGATAGGAAAACCAGATCCTGACTAAAAAGAACAAATCATAGAAAAATCTAAAATTATTTCCATAGGATACTTTTCAGATTTATATTATTTCATGTTTAAATGACAGTACATACATGTGACTCCTCTTGATTGCTTTTGATACACTAGCATATTTGATCGTGAAAGAAAAATAATTAACTTGGGATTCAATAAAATAAGACCCATTTATGGAAGATTTTGATTTTGCTATACTGATATGATAGAGTCAGGGAAGCAAGTGATCACTGTCTAGTTGAGGGCTTGCTTTTTAAATATGAAAGCTTTAGAGGAAATTCTCCCTTCCTTTGTGCCTCCCCAGAGTCCTTAATTCCTTTTTGTGTGTTTTACGTTGGAAGTAAGTGGGGAAGAACATGTTACTTTTGGGAAAAACAGAAAGAATGTTCTATAACTTGGTTAATTAAATGCTTGTAAGATATGTGTGTCTCGTGTATAAACCTTAGTGAAATGTTTTCGGGTACCTTCTCTCTCTCAGTTTGTAATCAAAGCCTTGTATTTTATGTAAGTCTAACCAAAATATCAATAGGTAATATGTAGAGAAACAAGTTTGTCCATTGATTCAAATCTCTGGAATGTAGATTCTTTTCATTTTCCTGGCAGCAACTAGTTCACACAGTTCAAATTTTTCTCTGTCCTGTTGTAATTGTCTCTTTTGACCAGGGCCTGAACTAACTTCTTATATTTAAAATTTATCTTCATTTCCTTAATCTCATTCAGAAGCTTTAGAGATGCTGATTTTTCTCCCGAACTAATTTCTATTTATCACGGAGGAGAAATATCAAATGTTGATTAAGGACATGTATTCCAAGAGGTCACATGCTCAAGCTTTGTATCTTGGGATAATACTAAGTATTACATTGAAAGAAAGAAAGAAAGAAAAAAGGAAAGTTCCATTGGGAAATACTTTTGGAACATGCTAGATTAAACCAAATTAAACAAGTTTCTTTAAAATAGGACTTCTCCCAGCTTTTATCCTGTTAATGTGTATTGTATATCTACAAGAAGGCTATGTGGCATGCGGTATTTCCCATTGATTTGACTACAGAACCGCTTTTTGGGAAAGATTTTTGTCATGCTTTAAGGGACTATTGGTGTAATAGAAAGATCACTGATCTGGAATTTAGAAGATCACACTTTGAGCTTCTGATTTACCACTCTGTAGCCTTGTGACCTTGAACAAATCCTTTGTCTTCTAGCCTCAGTTTCCTGATTGGTGACTAAGGTCACTTGCAGCTCTAATACTGTGTCATTTAATGCTTCTGTTGTTGACTCTGAATAGTCACACTTTCCACTTCTTTTTATCTGTTGAAACCATGTCATCATTTCAGTCTATTTTGTCAGGTTGAGGAGATTATATTACCTTTTCTATAAAAGTTCAGAAGAAGAAAACCTTTAAAACCCTGTTTTCCACAGATTGATGGTCATGGAATCCTGTTAGATTAATTAGTTCGAATTGCTTTCTAAAGATAATTCATTCTCCTGATTACATTTTATTGGTCTCTTATATCCACATAACTGTTTTTAAGAGTCCCCTGAGTTTAAATGTGACAAAATTAATCCCAAGCTCCCACCTGTACTCCCCCAACCATTATGGTTTCTGTATGGCATTTTCTTGTAAGAGATAAATATTAGGCATTTGCACTAATGTCTTGACTACTTAAGCAAAAATTGGTAGATTTCATTTTGTGCTGATTTAGTGGATATATTTGAAATGTCTTATGATAATATTGACTGATTAACTTTCTTCTGTGTTAACTTGGAAACTGAGTTAAGATAGGGTAACTTCAGAATTAAAAATATATGCATTAATATGTTTGGTTTTCTTTATGAGACTAAAACTTTATGTACTAAGGCCTTTTGTTGTGGTATTTAAGGTAACAATTTGTTCAAAATTAGAAATTCATTAAAAGCTTAATTACATTTTTTTTTCTTTCCTTTTTTTTTTTGGTGTGTTTGTGTGTGTTTTTCTCTATATAGGCCCAACAGCAAAGAAACCTGGATAACATCGTCTTGCAACAACCCAGAATAGGTAGCAAGAGAAAATCTAAGAAAGATGCATATATAATCTTTGATACAGAGATAGAAAGCACTAGCCCCAAGTCTGAACAGGATTCAGGAATTCTGGATGTTGAAGATGAGGACGATGATGAAGAGGTAACTAACATTTGAACTGGGGAAGTGAAACTATTTTTAAGCTTATATGTAGTATATGGTTGAGATGTGATCAAAAGTTTATCCATATAATACAATTTGTGTGATCTGGATATTAAATGCTATTTTGAATAGAAATGGGCCTCAATTTAACGAAACCAAAGATACATTAGGATAATTTAGATTGTGATTCTTTTTAAAGAATTTAAATTTTAAATGCATTCTTCCAATTTTGAAAAGATTCAGCGTTTTTTTTTTGTTGTTTTTTTTTTTTGAGACAGAATCTCACTCTTTTTGCCTGGGCTAGAGTGCCGTGGCGTCATCCTAGCTCACGGCAACCTCAAACTCCTGGGCTCAAGTGATCCTTCTGCCTCAGCCTCCCAAGTAGCTGGGACTACAGGCATGCACCACCATGCCCGGCTAATTTTTTCTATATATTTTTAGTTGTCCAATTAATTTCTTTCTAATTTTAGTAGAGACGGGGTCTTGCTCTTGCTCAGGCTGGTCTCGAACTCCTGAGCTCAAACAATCCGCCCGCCTCGGCCTCCCAGAGAGCTACAATTACAGGCGTGAGCCACCGCGCCCGGCCTAGATTCAGCGTTTTTTGATTCTATACTGACTGGGAGCTACATTAAGGGAAGAGTAGAGAGGTAACCTGACCTAGAGACAAGAGGTCTAGGTGACCTCTACTAAAACTAGAACAGAGTTACTTGAGGTAAATATAAGATGTTACTTCAAAAAGTTAGGAGTGAACAAATAGATTTACCTTGAGAAATGATTCAAGTTGAAAATATAAAAAGGTTCCAGAAAGTTGAGAATACATTTCTGGAGGAAATACATATATGAGTGATTATGGGATATCTAGGAATTTTATGAGATATCCATAACCTCTTAGATGAGTTATGTGTCACTGTCAGGCAAGAATAAGATTAAGTGGCTTAACTGGTACATATTTTTATATTCTTCTTTGTTGTTGGAAGTATATTTAATGTGTTTTTTAAAACTGTTGTGGCATTTGAGATTTCCTGTTCAAATGTTTTTTGTAAATACTTATCATTTGCATTAATTGGATCAGTGTCTTTGCGAGTGTAGTGTTTAGGAGCATGAGCTTTAGAGTCAGACTATATTCCAGTCCTGGCTTTGCCATTTTATTTTTTAACATTATTAATAATCATATCATTTACTTTTAAAATGGCTACTGATATATGTGAGAAACCATTTACTCCTATACTCAGTAAACTTTTTTGCCTTTAAGCGCTTTTCTCCTTTTAATTGTTTCATTTCTTCAGATAAAACTGGGTTCACTATTTCTTCGTCATCCTTGTCTCCTATTATACCCTTACTACCCTTCTTTCTCTTCTCTGTCTCCAAAAGTTATGCTCAAAAACTCGTCACTGTCTAACTTTGTAATCTTAAGTAATTTGCTTAATCTGTTGGAACCTTAGTCTTCAGCTATCAAGTAAAGTCTCCCCCATATAGCAGCAGTCCCCAACCTTTTTGGCACCAGGGACTGGTTTCACAGAAGACGATTTTTCCAAGGACCTAGGTGGGGGATGGTTTTGGGATGATTCAAGCACATTACATTTATTGTGCAGTCAAACCTCTCTGCTAATGACAATCTGTATTTGCAGTCACTCCCCAGCGCTAGCATCACCACCTCAACTCTACCTCAGATCATCAGGCATTAGTTCTCATAAGAACCGTGCAACTTAGATCTCTGGCGTGTGCAGTTTACAGTAGGGTTCATGCTCCTGTGAGAATCTAATGCTGCCACTGGTCTGACAGGAGGTGGAGCTTATTCTGTGATGCAAGCGATGGGGAGCGGTGGTAAATACAGATGAAGCTTTGCTCTCTCACCCACCACTCACCTCCTACTGTGCAGCCTGGTTCCTAAAAGACCATAGACTGGTACTCGTCTGCGGCCCAGGGGTTGGGGACTGCAGCCATATAGGATTGCATAAGTGTCTGTCCATAAAAGGTGGTCAACAAACATTAGTTTTATTATTCTTCCTTACTGACTTCTATTATGTATCACCATTGTCAGTATGCCTGTACCTATTATTATTCCTTTTTGACTTCAAAAATAGAATTGGTACTGTTTAAACTGTTTGGGCTGAAAGGCAAGTAATCAAATAGTTATGTGTCTAAAACATTAGCATTTAAGTTTGATTGAATGTCTTAGGGACTATCATATTTGTAAAGTACTACCTTCTTTTATGTAGTTTTCATTATCGAGGGGACACATTTCTGCCATTTAAGTGAATAATTGTATTTATCATTTTTAGTTAAAATTTATACTTGACTAGGACATGTAAATGAGGTACATTAATAGTTATCAATGCTTGAAAGTTTCATCCTAATTTGTATTGTACTTAGATTGCAAGAACTCCTAATAGCTCTTAATAGAGCTAAAAAAAATCTTTTGAATGTTACCTAATGGACCACTTTAGACAAAAGAACCAACTATTTGTGTGATAACCTGTGGAGATAGAAAGGAGGAGAGAGGACTGTATCCTCTTGAATATTTTCTAGCATTCTGTCTTCCAGCCTGGAATGACTGGTGTGTTAGGATATGGATCCATCCTGGAGATCAGACTGTCAGGGATTAGGCTCATCACAGGTGACTAGTCAACAGCGGTAGTATAATAAAGTCTTTCCCAAGAAAGACTAGTTAACTCCTTTAATGTACATTTTGGGTACTCATCAAGAAAATGAAATTCTGTGAGGATGGAAACAGAAGTTACCCATAGTCTCTGCCCTTGGATAACCTGAAGAGATGGTTAGATGATAAGATAAAAAAATAAAATATATATATAGTTCTTATATATCATTGAGAACCTTCTGGATAGAAACCATTCTTTATCATTAGCTCACTTAAGATCCTGGATAAGTTCCTTTTAATTTTTATGCCATGTTTCTTCTTGCTTTGTTCTATGAGGTCCAGAGAAGATGGAGAAAGTGAGATTAGTAAAATATGCTGGGGGGGGGGTTCCTCATAAAGATAGTACAATAAGAATGTACTTGGAAGTTAATATTTTAAAATGGTTTCATATCCTAAATCAAACAGAATTCATATTAAATATTTGCTGATTGAGCTCTTACAACAAGAATTCAGCACTTCACTGTCATCTAAAGGCATCCTATCTTAAAAAAAATCCTACCTTATATTTATTTACTTCTCAGTTTGAATCTTCTTCAAGTGCACATTCTTAATCTCAAACCTCATGTAGAGAATTATTTATTTAGATGTTTCCAAACGGGTTTCTTGGCATAGTTCTTGCATGGTGTGAATAAATTCTTCAGATAAGGTCTTTCATGACCCACTGTGACGTTCTGACCTTCATTCTTGTCATTCTTCAACAGACCTCATTGAGAACAGCATAGTTTTTGGAATATTGTGACTTTTAATCTGTGAGTATGGTAATTGTGGCATAGAATCCTGTAGGGCAGTGGTTCTTAATCTATTTGGGGTCATGTATCTCTTTGAGAGTTCCGTAAAAATATATGGAGTGATTTCCCAGTAAAATGTACATGTATTCATTCAAAAACAGTTCTGCATGAAATTTCAAGAGGTTCATGAAATTCATTTTACTCCTAGGACCCAACTTAAGTACCATGTTGTCAAGCAATGCTTCTTGAACTTTATTGTGCATAGAAATCACCTGGGAATCATATTAAAATGCAGATTATGATTCTGCAGGTTGGGGATGAGTCTGAGAGTCTGCATTTTTAATAATGTCCCAGGTGAGGATGGGGCTTCTGGTCCCTGGATCACATTTTGAGCTTCAAGGCTATAGAGGACCATGAGGAAGCTTTTTTGGTATGTAAATAAAACAAACCCATGATTATTTGAGTCTCCTATTGATTTTCCATTAATATGATTTAAAACTTTTTGGGCAATAAGCCAGTACTTGAAGAGAAAGTTATATTTTGCTTTCTAAAATTTGTTCTTTATTATACATTACCAGCCCATTTTTAAATGAAATTTTATAATTCTAATTTAACAAGTTTAGGTACTTATTCTTCAAAGTAAAAACTTTTTACCCTTTCTTGTGCTTTTAATGAAAATATATTTAATATATTCTTTGAGTTGAATGACATTTTTAGGCTATTTATTGTATTTACTATATCTTTAGCTTAATGACACTTAAGAGGAGATCATGAAATCAGGTGAGTAGGAAAACCGAAACACCTGGAACAGAGCTTTTTCACACAGTAAGCGGATTGTTAATATATTATTAAACCGAAATAAAGTTTATACTAGGGATGGGAAAAACTTAACAGCCTGGGGAACTGAAGATGAAGTCTCAATAGTAAGTTGTCATCTTGGATGAAAAACTACCTCATCATATTGAATGAACTGAAGGAGTTAGTCTCTTTCTCTTTTTTTGTTCTATCCCCCAACCCCCAAACCCCAGCTTTTGAGGAGTGTTGCAAAGAAAAGTATTCCCTAGTAAAATTCTCTCTTTATTTTTATGTTATTTTTGACTAAGCTAATGAAAGGGTCATAATTAAAGTAAGTGTTTTTAACTGAGCATATATGAAAGTTGAACTATATAAAACTGCCAGTATTTTACCATTTTTGATCAACTTAACTCAATTGATTTTCCGTCAAAACATGTAAGGCAATTTGCGTTGAATCTCTATATCACCCTGTGATATATGCAGATGTTAATGTTCTTCTCTAAATGTCTAGATAGGACTTTAAAAAATTTTTTTAGAAATAGCGAACATTTTAAATTGAAAATAAATTTATGGTCCTAGATTCATCGTGAATATCAGTTTTGAAATATTTGAAGATAAAATACAAAGAAGCCCACAATATGATACATTATTTGTGAGAAGGGGGACAACCATGTCATCCATACCACCCATCATATAGTATGGGTCAAATTAATGTTTGTTGACCAGGTTTAGCTCTCCGGATTTTGGTGCCTCTTTTCAAATATGGAATTAAAACAAGAGGGAATTGCTAATTTAAATGCAAATACTATCTAATAGAA